AAGAAAGTGAGAGCGAGGAAGAAAGTGAGAGCGAGAAAGAAAGTGAGAGCGAGGAAGAAAGTGAGAGCGAGGAAGAAAGTGAAAGCGAGAAAGAAAGTGAGAGAGAGAAAGAAAGTGAAAGCGAGAAAGAAAGTGAGAGCGAGAAAGAAAGTGAGAGCGAGAAAGAAAGCGAGAGCGAGAAAGAAAGCGAGAGCGAGAAAGAAAGCGAGAGCGAGAAAGAAAGCGAGAGCGAGAAAGAAAGCGAGAGCGAGAAAGAAAGCGAGAGCGAGAAAGAAAGTGAGAGCGAGGAAGAAAGTGAGAGCGAGAAAGAAAGCGAGAGCGAGAAAGAAAGCGAGAGCGAGAAAGAAAGTGAGAGCGAGGAAGAAAGTGAGAGCGAGAAAGAAAGTGAGAGCGAGAAAGAAAGTGAGAGCGAGAAAGAAAGTGAGAGCGAGGAAGAAAGTGAGAGCGAGAAAGAAAGTGAGAGCGAGAAAGAAAGTGAGAGCGAGAAAGAAAGTGAGAGCGAGAAAGAAAGTGAGAGCGAGAAAGAAAGTGAGAGCGAGAAAGAAAGTGAGAGCGAGAAAGAAAGTGAGAGCGAGAAAGAAAGTGAGAGCGAGAAAGAAAGTGAGATCGAGAAAGAAAGTGAGAGCGAGAAGAAAGCTGAGAGCGAGAAAGAAAGTGAGAGCGAGAAAGAAAGTGAGAGCGAGAAAGAAAGTGAGAGCGAGAAAGAAAGTGAGAGCGAGAAAGAAAGTGAGAGCGAGAAAGAAAGTGAGAGCGAGAAAGAAAGTGAGAGCGAGAAAGAAAGTGAGAGCGAGAAAGAAAGTGAGAGCGAGAAAGAAAGTGAGAGCGAGAAAGAAAGTGAGAGCGAGAAAGAAAGTGAGAGCGAGAAAGAAAGTGAGAGCGAGAAAGAAAGTGAGAGCGAGAAAGAAAGTGAGAGCGAGAAAGAAAGTGAGAGCGAGGAAAGAAAGTGAGAGCGAGAAAGAAAGTGAGAGCGAGGAAAGAAAGTGAGAGCGAGAAAGAAAGTGAGAGCGAGAAAGAAAGTGAGAGCGAGAAAGAAAGTGAGAGCGAGAAGAAAGTGAGAGCGAGAAAGAAAGTGAGAGCGAGAAAGAAAGTGAGAGCGAGAAAGAAAGTGAGAGCGAGAAGAAAGTGAGAGCGAGAAGAAAGTGAGAGCGAGAAAGAAAGTGAGAGCGAGGAAGAAAGTGAGAGCGAGGAAGAAAGTGAGAGCGAGGAAGAAAGTGAGAGCGAGGAAGAAAGTGAGAGCGAGGAAGAAAGTGAGAGCGAGAAAGAAAGTGAGAGCGAGAAAGAAAGTGAGAGCGAGGAAGAAAGTGAGAGCGAGGAAGAAAGTGAGAGCGAGGAAGAAAGTGAGAGCGAGGAAGAAAGCGAGAGCGAGGAAGAAAGCGAGAGCGAGGAAGAAAGCGAGAGCGAGAAAGAAAGTGAGAGCGAGAAAGAAAGTGAGAGCGAGAAAGAAAGCGAGAGCGAGAAAGAAAGCGAGAGCGAGAAAGAAAGTGTGAGTGAGAAAGAAAGTGAGAACGAGATAGAAAGAGCGAGAGAGAGCGAAAGAGGGAGAAAGAGGGAAAGAGAGGGAAAGAGAGGGAGAGGGAGAGGGAGAGGGAGAGGGAGGGGAGAGGGAGAGGGAGAGAGAGAGAGAGAGAGAGAGAGAGAGAGAGAGAGAGAAATAGAGAGAGAGTGAGAGAGAGAGTGAGAGAGAGAGCGAGAGACAGAGAGAGAAAGAGAGCGAGAGAGAGAGAGAGAGAGAGAGAGAAAGAGAGCGAGAGAGAAGGGGGGGGGGAGGAGCGAAATGGGGAAAGGGAGAGAGAGGGAGAGGGAGAGGGAGAGAGAGAGGGAGAGGGAGAGAGAAGGGGGAGAGGGAAAGAGAGAGGGAGAGGGAGAGACAGGGGGAGAGGGAGAGAGAGAGGGAGAGCGAGAGCGAGGGGAAAGAGGGAGAGCGAGAGAGAAAGCGAGAGCGAGAAAGAAAGCGAGAGCGAGAAAGAAAGCGAGAGCGAGAAAGAAGGCGAGAGCGAGAAAGAAGCGAGAGCGAGAAAGGAGAGCGAGAGCGAGGAGAAAGTGAGAGCGAGAGAAAGTGAGAGCGAGAAAGAAAGTGAAAGCCGAAGAAAGTGAGAGCGAGAAAGAAAGTGAGAGAGAGAGAGAGAGAGAGAGAGAGCGAGGAAGAAAGTGAGAGCGAGAAAGAAAGCGAGAGCGAGAAAGAAAGTGTGAGTGAGAAAGAAAGTGAGAACGAGATAGAAAGAGCGAGAGAGAGCGAAAGAGAGAGAAAGAGGGAAAGAGAGGGAGAGGGAGAGGGAGAGGGAGAGGGAGAGGGAGAGGGAGAGAGAGAGAGAGAGAGAGAGAGAGAGAGAGAGAGAGAGAGAGAGAGAATGAGAGAGAGTGAGAGAGAGAGTGAGAGAGATAGAGAGAGAGTGAGAGAGAGAGTGAGAGAGAGAGTGAGAGAGAGAGCGAGAGACAGAGAGAGAAAGAGAGCGAGAGAGAGAGAGAGAGAGAGAGAGAGAAAGAGAGCGAGAGAGAAGGG